TTTTGTGCCTATTTTGGGATTATTTTTGGGGCTATTTCAGGGCCGTTTTGTGCCTATTTTGGGATGATTTTTGGTGCTATTTCAGGCCCGATTTGGGCCCCTTTCCGCGGGTTTCTGGGGCTGGTTCGGGCCATTTTTGGGATTATTTTTGTTGCTATTTCAGGGTCATTTTGGGATGATTTTGTGCCTATTTTGGGATTATTTTTGGGGCTATTTCAGGGCCGTTTTGTGCCTATTTTGGGATGATTTTTGGTGCTATTTCAGGGCCATTTTTGGGATTATTTTCGTTGCCATTTCAGGCCCGATTTGTGCCCCTTTCCGCGGGTTCCTGGGGCTGCTTTGGGCTATTTTTGTGCCTATTTTGGGATTATTTTCGTTGCTATTTCAGGCCTGTTTTGTGCCCCTTTCCGCAGGTTTCTGGGGCTGGTTCGGGCCATTTTTGGGATTATTTTGGGATTATTTTTGGTGCTATTTCAGGGCCGGTTTGTGCCCCTTTCCGCGGGTTTCTGGGGCTGCTTTGTGCCTATTTTGGGATGATTTTGTGCCTATTTTGGGATTATTTTCGTTGCTATTTCAGGCCCGTTTTGTGCCCCTTTCCGCGGGTTCCTGGGGCTGCTTTGTGCCTATTTTGGGATTATTTTCGTTGCCATTTCAGGCCCGTTTTGTGCCCCTTTCCGCGGGTTCCTGGGGCTGTTTCGGGCTGGTTTTGGGGCTCACTCACGTCACCACGGGGTCGCGGCAGGGCTGCAGGGACAGGCAGCAGCAATCGAAATCCTTGATGGCGTCACGGCCCACCCGCACCCGCTGCGTGCCGTAACCCGAGGCCGCTGCCGGGGGGGGACACAAAGACACAAACGTCACCAAAAAGTCCCCAAAAAAGCCCCCAACCCCCCCGGGCCCGGCGCCACCTGTGTCCTTCTTCCTCTCGTGGTAGCTGTACACGGCCCCCGCCGTGCAGTTCTTGCCGTGCCGGGTCATGGCGGCTCCGGGGTGCTCCTGCAGGGGTGGAGAGAGGAGTTTCAAGAGGTTTTTTGGGGATTTTGGGGGTTTTTTTGGGGGTTTTTGGGGGTTTGGGCGCGCGCCCCCCTCACGGCCGGTGCGGCGGCACAGCGGAAGGCGGAAGTGGCGAACCGGAAGCGCGCCGGGTAAAAGGGTCCGGGTGGGAGCGGCGCTTTGGTTCCGCCCCCTCTGGCTCCCGGTTGCTCCCAGTTCCGCCCAGCAGCGCTCAGCGGTTTAGCCACGCCCCCTCCGGGCTGTTCCAAGCCGCGCTCTGGGGATGAAACCCCCGGCGCCCCGCCCCTATAGGGAGAAAGCCCCGCCTCCTTTCCTTCTATAGGCACGCCCTTACCCCGCCCCTTTCTTCTTTCCCGCCCCTTCCCCTATAGAAACTGCCTGGCCCCGCCCCTTTTACCTATAGGCGCCGCTTGGCCCCGCCCCAACGACTCCCGCCAACGTCTGACCACGCCCCCTTTCCATATATGGCGTCTATAAACTCCACCCCTTCGTATCGTATAAATGTATCTGGCCCCGCCCCCTCAGCGCTCCTGCCACCGTCTGGCCACGCCCCCTTTCCCATATACGGAAACGCTTAACCCCGCCCTTTTATGCCTATAGAGGCAGCTTGGCCCCGCCCCTAAGGGATCCCGCCGCCGTCTGACCACGCCCCATTTCCATATATGGACGCGCGTAACCCCGCCCTTTTGTCGCAGCGTGGCTCCGCCCCCTCAGCGCTCCCGCCACTGCGTGGCCCCGCCCTTTTGTCCATGTACGGCCGCGTTTGGCCCCGCCCCTTTCTCCCCTGCAGACATTGTCTCTCCCCGCCGCTTTCCCCGCCCCTTTTCCCTTTTACGGCCAGTCACCGACCACGCCCCTGTGCCCCCATTGGCCCAGCCTCGCCCCGCCCCTCCCGCCGCGCTCCCGCCGCCGCGCGGCCCCGCTCGGGCCCCGCGCGGTGCAGTGTGGGAGGAAGCGGCGGCGCGCGGCCCCGAGGATTGGGATGCTGTGATCCCGTTACACCGGGATTTGGGATGCTGTGATCCCGTTGCACCGGGACTTGGGGTGCAGGGATCCCGTTACACCGGGGTTTGGGGTGCAGGAGGATTGGGATGCTGTGATCCCGTTACACCGGGATTTGGGATGCTGTGATCCCGTTGCACCGGGACTTGGGGTGCAGGGATCCCGTTACACCGGGGTTTGGGGTGCAGGAGGATTGGGATGCTGTGATCCCGTTACACCGGGATTTGGGATGCTGTGATCCCGTTGCACCGGGACTTGGGGTGCAGGGATCCCGTTACACCGGGGTTTGGGGTGCAGGAGGATTGGGATGCTGTGATCCCGTTGCACCGGGACTTGGGGTGCAGGGATCCCGTTACACCGGGGTTTGGGTGTGCTGAGATTTGGGGTGTGCTGGGATTTGGGGTGCAGGGATCCCGTTACACTGAGATTTGGGGTGCAGGGGTCCCGTTACCCCGGGATTTGGGGTGCAGGAGGATTGGGATGCTGTGATCCCGTTACACCGGGATTTGGGGTGCTGGGATCCCGTTACACCGGGGTTTGGGGTGAGGGGATCCCGTTATACCGGGGTTTGGGAGGTTTTGGGGTGCTGGGATCCCGTTTTACCGGGTTTTGGGATGCTGTGGTCCCGTTACACTGGGGTTTGGGGTGCTGAGGGCTCATTGCACCGGGGTTTGGGGTGCAGGGATCCCGTTACACCGGGGTTTGGGGTGCAGGGATCCCGTTACACGGGGGTTTGGGGTTCGGGGCTCGTTACACCCCGGGAGTGTTAACAGGATTTGGGGTGTGCTGGGATTTGGGGTTTTGGGGTCCCGTTACACCGGGATTTGGGGTGCAGAAGGTTTTGGGGTGGAGGTGGTGGGATTTGGGGCTCGTTACACCGGGGTTTGGGTGTGCTGTGTCTGCAGGATTTGGGGTGTGCTGGGATTTGGGGTGACGGGGTCCCGTTACACCGGGATTTGGGGTGCGGGAGGTTTTGGGGTGGAGGTGGTGGGGTTCGGGGCTCGTTACACCGGGGTTTGGGTGTGCTCAGATTTGGGGTGAGGGCATCTCATTGCACCGGGGTTTGGGTGTGCTGTGTCTGCAGGATTTGGGGTGTGCTGGGATTTGGGGTTTTGGGGTCCCGTTACACCGGGATTTGGGGTTTTGGGGTCCCGTTACACCGGGATTTGGGGTGAGGGGTCCCGTTACACCGGGATTTGGGGCTTTAGTGTCCTGTAATTCTGGGATTTGGGCTGCAGGAGGCTTGGGATGCTGTGATCCCATTACACCGGGATTTAGGGTGTGCTGGGATTTGGGGTGAGGGTTGTTTGGGGTTTTGGGGTCCCATTACACCAGGATTTGGGGTGCTGAGGGATTTGGAGTATGCTGGGATTTGGGGTGGGAGGCTTGGGATGCTGTGATCCCATTACACCGGGATTTAGGGTGTGCTGGGATTTGGGGTGAGGGTTGTTTGGGGTTTTGGGGTCCCATTACACCAGGATTTGGGGTGCTGAGGGATTTGGAGTATGCTGGGATTTGGGGTACAGGGATCCCGTTAGACTGAGATTTGGGGTGCAGGGATCCCGTTACCCTGGGATTTGGGGTGCAGGGATCCCGTTACACTGAGATTTGGGGTGCAGGGATCCCGTTACCCTGGGATTTGGGGTGCAGGGATCCCGTTACCCTGGGATTTGGGGTGCAGGGATCCCGTTAGACTGAGATTTGGGGTGCAGGGATCCCGTTACCCTGGGATTGGGGGTGCAGGGATCCCGTTACCCTGGGATTTGGGGTGCAGGGATCCCGTTTCCCTGGGATTTGGGGTGCAGGGATCCCGTTACACCGGGATTTGGGGTGCAGGGATCCCGTTACACCGGGATTTGGGGTGCAGGGATCCCGTTACCCTGGGATTTGGGGTGCAGGGATCCCGTTACCCTGGGATTTGGGGTGCAGGGATCCCGTTACACTGAGATTTGGGGTGCAGGGATCCCGTTACACCGGGATTGGGGGTGCAGGGATCCCGTTACACCGGGATTTGGGGTGTGCTGGGATTTGGGGTGCAGGGATTCCCTTGCACTGGAGTTTGGGGTGCTCCAGGATTTGGGGTGCTGAGGGTCCTGTTCTGTTGGGGTTTGGGGTGCTCCAGGATTTGGGGTTCTCCAGGATTTGGGGTGCTGGGATCCTGCTGTAGCAGGATTTGGGGTGCTGGGGGTCCTCTTGTATTGAGTTTTGGGGTCCTCCAGGGTTTGGGGTGCAGGATGATTTAGGATGCTCCAGGATTGGCGTGCAGGATTTGGGGTGCAGCAGGATTTGGGGTGCAGCAGAATTTGGGGTGCTGGGATCCTGTTGTATTGAGTTTTGGG